CCAACAATGCATAGGCATACCATCGACGCTGATGAGAATCGCATGAAAATTTTATGAGTTCGCCACTTAAGCGTAATTGAAAAATTTGATCTTCCAAAAGGCTTTGAGGCTTTTCGAAAAGTTATTGCCATAGCTTTTGTTGCCTTGTTGGGAGGCGCTTGTGTGCAAGTGTCGCTAATGTTATGAAGATGTTTAGAGGGAGGCAGATGAGAGTTGAAGAAAAAGATGCCGCAAATAATTTTTGTTTCTTCAGTTTCCCTTTTTGAGAGTTTGCGATTTATTTAATTTATTTTTCATATCCGCGAAATGGTGTATCGTTATATATTTTTACCAAAGCGACAAAGTAAAATTTTAGTGGTGACCTGTGTTAAGCTGCGCTAAATAACAATTTCATATCAAGAGACGATTCTATAAAAATAAAGCAAAAAAATTTGATTCTAAAATTACTTTAGATACTAAACCTATTTGTGCTGAGAGAAATATATTGCAAAAGTCTCGTGCAATTCTACACTAGATGCTAACATTCTGTATACTTAAAAATGAAGTTTACGAAGAGCTGAAGCTGAGTCGACCTTCCCAAGTGATATCGTTGCGCTCTATATTTTCCAAGAAAATCCGTTTTCGAGCCTTTTTTTCAGTTATGAAGGCTATTTCCGGCTCAATGGGTATGGAAACAAGCAAAATTGCAGCATTTGGCACGAGCTGCCATTTCATTCAGAAAAACAAAGGTTTCGTGTGGTTTGTGTGCCGGTAGAATAAGTGATCCATATTTCTTTAAAAATGATGCAGGTGTGAACGTAACCGTCAATGGCGACCGCTATCTCACCATGTTAACCGACTATTTGATACCTGGAATTGAAGCTAGTCATCTCGGCGACATTTGGTTCCAAACAGACGGTACCACTTCTCACAGATCGCAGATTGAGAGTAGATAATTCCACGTAAAATAAATGCCAAAGAATTTTTTTTCGGTTGATAATATACATTCCTCATTAAGTTTGAAGTTTCTGTGTTTTTGATTTAATAAAGTAGGTAACCTTAAAATGAGTTACACTTTACTTTACAAAAGCTTGATAAGTATATTTACAGTGTTATTAAATTAGCAACATAGCACTTTGGAGCGATAGACAAAATATTGATTTTGTTTTATAGTCTCTTAGAGCCTTATGTGTTTAGGTTAGGTAACTTGGAAATATATTCTGAGTTAACTTGGAAACCTAAAAATGATAATATTATTAGGCTATTAGTCTCAATTTAAGTATAAAGATTTATATATGTATATCAGATCCGGAGTGGCTGCTTTGAAACTTATTTTTGATTAGAAGGTTAGGCTCAGTAACTGATCCTTGAGCTGAGAATCGCTCTTGGACTAGTATATAAAGCACTTTATGAAACCAGACAATTGTGCTCCTGTAATCGGATTCTAAAGTGGCCAAAGTATTTGGATGCCAAGCCAAATCTATATACATACATAAATGAAAGACGACTCAGTTTATTTCTCGGCATACAGGGTTATCCAAAAGCCTAGTTGCTTTTCTAATGATGATGATTAATTATCTATCAATAAAAGAAATAGAAAGTTCTAAATAAACGTTTCTGTTCCACCTTTCTCCACACATCTTTCACAGTTAGCGTACGTCAAGATTTGCAACCTTACCACATACATGCCTATTGTACAATAAGATGATATACGATTGCGGCAAGATGTACCTGACTGATAGCAAGTAGTTTAATAGATCGCCTGTGCTCTGCACTAGCACGAGGGTTCTCGCGGTTGCTCAGCAGATAGTGTGGGAAAATGCTTGCAAAGCTCAGGAAAAGTCTAGATGTCTCATGCCAAAGCGCCAGATCTCAACGAAGACCCAAATAGTTTTTCAGTTGGATGTAATAGGTAAAAAAGTACCTTATCTTACGAGCTCATCGGTTTCATAAGACTACACTATGATCAGGCACCCAAACAAGTCTGATATTGAAGTAGCTTGATGCTATCGATAATGAGAGCAGACACTGCTTGATTAAATTTGATTGCAGAGCGAGTGACGCTCTGCTAGAAGCGTTAGTGCTCATCTACTTGAGGAATTTATCCACTGACAGCTTAATAACAGCCGGCTGCCTTAAACGCGCTACAATGATAGAAGCGTAAACTATGTTTGGGAAAGATTCTTATAGAAAAACACCACAGGAGTTCAGGATGTTGTTATAACGGAATAGTTCTGTCGAGTTCGAGTTCGAGTGGACAGTCCTTGATTGGATAAAAAATCCGGTACGTTTCGGTTACGTGGACCTGACCGTCGTGTGAATGGAGGAGTTCAGAAAATCCAGTTTTGACTACTTTATGAACCCAATTTCCTTGACTCTTGCGGCGAACTTCGCAGAAATAGGCCTGCCAGCTATATCGACGAGTGTCCAGGACAGTTGGGTTTAAGTATTCGGGGCAGACCCAGATTTTTTTGCAGAACACCCCAAATAACAATGATATACTGTCTCTAGGCACGTTCAAGCTTCTTAGCGAACGCTGTCTGTTTTTCTACCATAAGTTGGTAGTTTACGGTCGTTTTTAAAAGTTATGTAGTCAAAGTATTGTTGTTATAAACACGCGTTGCTCGCGGTTAAAATAAAGAAAATTTTGGTTCATCCTATACAATATTTACTACCAATAAAAGGTGACAAACGCCTACTTCTAAATTTTGATATCTAAATTTATTATTGGTGGATTAAATTTAGGTTATGTTAGTGTTGTTGTTAGACTTACAAAGAGGTGGTTAGTATCATTTGGGGAACCGTTGCACGTTGTAAATATATTTAATATGTCGCGGTCGATTCTGGATAAGTAAGAGTTTAACCTGCTGCAGTATCCAAAACAAAGCTGCTTAAGGGATCTAAGCTCGTGTGAATCGGTAAGTTAGAATAGCATCACAGTCTGCGGGCTGGAAAGGTCTCACAAATATATTTATTTTAATTGTCTTTCCTACACAATCTAATTGGCAATCAGAAAAATAACTAATGGGATTTGTTTTATGAAGTTCATACATGGTCGTCATTAAAGATAATAAATAATAATAATTGTTTATAAAAATAGTTACAAAATAATCCATGAAAAAGTATAAATTAATAATAAATAATTAACAACAATAAACCGTAGATATCAAAGAACAATATTGTTGTTTTCTTAATATCACTTCAAAACAACTCCACCAAGCGCATGCAAGGATACTAAAGGATGCAAACATCAAAGGAAACACGACACACATGCACTACTACAAACACACATATTTCTACGCATATATTAGCAGAGAATCGAACAGCGAATTCCAGCATCTTTAGCTAATCGAAAATCAAAAACAACACTAACAACAGCCAACGCCCTCTGCCGCCACACCAATGTGTGGCACATTATCCCATCAGCTCAGGCGCTTCAGTCACGCGCTCACAAGCGGGTTCGTTTGAGTTTTACGCAACTTTTTACCAACTTTTGATTTGCTTGCCTCTTATGAGTCTACCATAGAGCACATTTTATTTTTTTTTTTTGGTTTTGTATGAGTATTTGGGATTTGTTGCCTTTTTGCTGATTCGGCACAGAGCAGTGGCAAACTTATCAAGTCAATCAAGCTGCTGGCATGAGGGCGCGCGCCGGCTTGAGGCGCAACGAGATGCAAATGCCGCAAAAATACTCGCACAAAATCAATTCAAGGGTATAATTGCGATAATCTGCTTTTAAGTAGTTAAATAAATAAAGTTAATTTGAAGAAGATGATTTCAGTTGAACTTATGCCACGCACTTAAGTCGAGAGAGGTTGGAGAACGCTAGCGAGAAAAGAATTAAGGGATGGGTAAACGAAGTTCTCAGATGTAAAGCTACAAATAGTACGATTGGGTTGACTTGCACTCCTGCTCTCTGAAAGCACTCATCAGCAACTCGTTTAAGGGAACTGTGGGACAGCATTTCAAGCTTCTTACGTACAGCCAATAGCAAAACCATTGCTTTTCGTAAAGGTCGAAAGAACAGCTGGTACGATGAGGACTGTCATGTCGCAGTGGAGAGAAAACAGACAGATTACTTCGCAATGCTGCGATAGACCAAAACTCTTCTAATATTTTTTACACACGAACGAGGTGGTATAGATGTCGAGATTTGAAGAGTCGCCTGCTGAACGGCACTGAAAGTGAACACCTGGAGATGGCGAATCCGATGCCTCGAGCGATGAGCAGGTTCGAATAGGAATTATTCGTCTCAAGACAAACGTATCAGATATAAAGTTGATAAGCCTCCTTATATATATGAGATTCTATCGAGCGTTTTGTGTCAAAGATTGAAGCTCGTTGATAAACTGACTGGACGTTATCAGTGTAGATTTAGACTCGAAAAAATCGACAATCGACCAGATTTTTACAACGCGTCAAATTTTGGGTGGTTAAAGTGTCCATTAAAAAGTGAAGTCCTCGCTCAAGGTATAAAGAAAAAGCTAAACAAGTGCTTCCCGTCCTGTTGTATGGTGCGAAGGCATGCACAACCACAACATCCGATAAGTCGGCCTTACAAGTTTTTTGCGGAAGATTTATGATCCTTTGTGTATTGCCAACGGCGAGTACCGCAATCGATCGAACGTTAGCTGTATGAGATATGCGGCGACTTCGCATATACACAGACGGACGCATAGACAGATGGATATGCCTAAATCGACACAGCTCGTAATGCTGATCATCTATATATATATTTCATGGAGTCTCCGGCCTTTCCTATTGGGTATTATTAACTTCTTGGGCAATGTTAATACAAATAGGAGGCTTCAAAAAAGCTTCCAGAAACTCTAAAAAAAAAATGTAGCTTTCTTATACCAATTCTTTAAGAAATAAGTATAGAAAATTATATAAGTATCAAATTCTGAGTTGTACACATAATTATAAAACACTCTTCTTATATTTTGTACGCCTCTTCTTCGTACTTTCGCTATTTATTTAACTAATCTCTAACTCATTTGTTTTTACGCTTACTCCTTACAGCCGTACAGCATGAGCGCGGTCCACGTAAACCCAAACTGCATCCACAACTACACCACCATCATCCCCATCATCCGCACCATCATCATCACCATCACCATCACAACGGCATGCCGCATCACCATCCCGGCCATCATCTGCCTGTCTCACTAGTCACCAATGTGTCGGCTTCCTTCAATTACACTTCACATATTTCCACCCACCCTGTACAGGGTTTCCAACCACCAGCACATCCGACCGCCTTCCATCATCCCGGACATGCGCTGGCGCAGCATAGCGCTTTGCAAAATGGCGCCGTTGCCGTGCCACCACATCCCCCATTGCCATTTCCACCGCATCTCTTGCCGCATATGCATCACAATCTCATTGCGGAGGCCACCAGCAAATTGCCGAACATCTCGGCCGCTGCGACAGCCACTACAGCCGCAACGCTTGTGGGTGCGGTGAATGCTGCGACGGCAGCCGGACAGCCACAAGGAACAAAGCATTTGCCGCTGTCGCTTACCACCGGCATGCCCACTTATGACCTGACAAATAGCGGCGGTTCCTCTGGTGGCGCTAGCGGTGGCGCTGCCAGCACAACGAGCTTGGAGTTCTACGCAAAGTCAACCGTGACGACACACAACTACTCGTCGCCATCGCCAACGCCTTCCATACAGTCCATATCGAGTATTGGCGGTCGCAGCTCGTTGGGCAGTGAGAGTCCGCGTGTAAATGTGGAGACCGAAACACCATCAGCAACACCGCCGTTGTCGACTAGCGCCTCACCAGTGCCCTCGCTGACGGACACTAATGTTACCGGTGGACCGGACTCACCGATTATCAATATCAATGGCAATAGCAATAACAACAATAATAGTGAGTCCATGGACAACAACAATGATAACAGCATAAACAATCAGAATTGTAAGCCGGGTAGTGGTGGCAGCGGCAGTTTGACTGCCAGCAGTGGCACACCATCGCGCTCGACGCCGCTCTCCAGTCATTCGCCAACAGCTCATCAAAGCATTGCTGGCGTTTCTAATAGTTCCAGCTCGTCGGCCGCTGCTGCGGCGAGTCAAGCTGCGGCGCTTTATGCAGCACGTCAAAACGGTTTCCTCGAACTCTTACTCAGTCCTGACAAGTGTCAAGAGATCATACAATATCAAGTGCACAATTCAATACTATTTCCGGCGCTGCCACAACAATTGATTGGCGTGGACTCGCGTCTGTTGTCATGGGAAATGCTGCAGGAAACTACTGCACGTCTACTCTTCATGGCTGTGCGTTGGGTTAAGTGCTTGATGCCCTTCCAAACGCTTACCAAGAATGATCAGCATTTATTGTTGCAGGTGAGTCGATTTGCTTTTAGGTTTTATAGTGTATGGAGTATACTAGTTTGACTCAAAAGATAATGGAGAAAGCTGAATGTAGGAATTAATCTGAAACTCCAAATTTTTGCAATAGCTTAGTCAAGGTCTCACTGAGTGGACATAGGTCAGTTGGAGAGATCGATGTTAAAGCTTTTGAGAGTATATTACTGCGGGGCAGGAAAGACCTCGTAATATACACCTTGTTTTCAAAGAGAAAATTCGAAAGACTTCGTTTGAGACGAACAAAAGTATAGAACTCCTGTACTTCGTAGTTATAAGTCATTAAACCGCCTTGTGGCTAAAAAAAAATTGCCTCAGACGTTTAATTTCCACTCCCACAAATTCATTGGGACATCTCAAAGGGTGAACTCTCAAGTGTTTAAGCCTTGATCGCGCAAACGCACCACACTCAAGAAGGAAGTGCTGGATCGATTCCACCTCGTATTTTTCCTTACAGCGTTTTAAGTTTTCGTCGAGTAAATTTATCATCCTTGCAATATGAATGCCGAAAGGTCAATGACCTATTACAACCCCAATAGCTAGGGAGAGGGTAAAGAACTCACTGAAAGGCTGGCCAAGTTCTCGGCAAGCACCGACCCAGTCCATTCTACAGATAGGGAAGCCAGAGTACCATTTCTTGCCAGCTCACCAGCTTTACAGCCTGCGATTCTGCTGTGAACCTATACAAGTCTTATCATAAAGTGACTGGCTTTTAGTGAACTCAAGGCTAGTATCGTCGCCCTGCTATCAAAGTGGATGGTAACTTCTCTAAAGGACTTCTTTTATAGATTTTAGTGAAGTGAATTTAGTCGCATTGATTGGAATTTATGAAGATCCACAATGAACCTTATCTAATTTATAATAATCAACTTAAATTAAGTTTTTCTTTAAATCGTAAATTTACAAATATGTAAATCTACTTCTCTTCCCCACCCACAGGAATCGTGGAAAGAGTTATTCCTACTCAACCTCTCACAATGGACGATCCCGCTCGATCTCACACCCATACTCGAATCACCACTCATCAAAGAGCGCGTACTCCAAGACGAAGCCACACAACTGGAAATGAAGACCATACAAGAGATACTCTGTCGCTTTCGTCAGATCGGGCCCGATGGCAGTGAGGTCGGCTGCATGAAAGCGATCGCGCTCTTTTCGCCCGAAACAGCTGGACTCTGCGATGTGCAACCCGTCGAGATGTTGCAAGATCAAGCGCAATGTATACTCTCCGATCATGTGCGTCTGCGTTATCCACGACAAGCGACACGTTTTGGACGTCTACTGCTGCTGCTGCCATCCTTGCGTACGATACGCGCCGCCACAATCGAGGCGCTCTTCTTCAAGGAGACCATTGGCAATGTGCCGATAGCGCGGCTCTTGAGGGACATGTATTCCATGGAGCCGGCGCAGGTGGACAATAAGTAGGAAGTGGGTGAACATTAAAATGCATGAACGATGGTGTTGAAGCTGATTTCTCGAGCATAACTGTAGTTCTAATGTGAGCGCTAAAAGCAATAAGATTTGAGCCGAAGTGGACATTGAAGCTGGTCATGACTCCTGGTGGTTTTCTTCGATATCACAGGTAACTGGAGCTCGCGCTATAGTTACTGCAGTCGTTGTAGCTGCTAGTACTGAAGCGCTTGTTACTATTGTTGTTGCACTCAGCTTCTATTGGCCTTACGTGTGTATGCGTGCGAGTGGTCGCGCCCAGCTGTCGAATTTCACATCGGTTTCGCGCCCTGCTTCTTCCTCTGCTTCCAGCTGTAACCACGTTGATATTTTGTGTTGATATCACACACTAGTTGTTGTTGCTGTTGCCATGCTAACTACGAATGCTGTAACTGTATTTTTCTAATGTCGCAACGTCGCATTGCCAAGCGCGCACCATACGCATGTGTGCGCGTGTGTGTAAATAAGGAAGTAACGGTTAAATAAAAATACCGTTAGAAATATAAGCTTTGTATGTAGGTATTTAGGTGTGTGTGTGCGCGCGCTCGAGTGCTAGCAAATGATTTATTCCGCTGGCAATTGCTTTATTTGCTTTCCATTCGACATTCTGCCCGCGACCTATACCGCGAGCGCCGCGTTTTTTACCGTTAGCTGCTACTTTTGATTTTTTCCTCCGCGCGCTACTTGCAGCTTGCCCCTTTGCGCTTATCATATACATTTTTTCCTTTCCATATTTTTATTTATTTTTTATATTTCTTTCTGCGCTCTTATTTTTTTATCATCACATTGGCTCACCGCCTCACCTGTACCGCCACCCGACGCTGCCAAGCTCAACTATCCCGCCACTCCCCCCACTCAATTGCTTGCTGTCGCTTTTTCTTATTCCTTTTCCCTTCGTGTGTATTCGTGCCCATATCCGTCGGCTATTTATGCTCAATCTCGCTTTGGAAAAATGTACGGACTTTACATTTGATATTTTAAATTTATGATTTTTTCCATCTTCCGCCCGCCGCGCGTAGCTCCCACCTCTCTTTTACCTTTACTTATACCTATTGGCCCGCCTCCCGCCAGCAAATCCTGCTTTTCACTTCGTCGCCGTGCTGTTTCGCGCTTCGCATGGCATTGCAAGTTTAGAAATAATGAAAAAATAACTTTGCCGCCGGTCTTTCTAAATTCAATTCAATTGTGTGGACACTCCTCCGACACACTGTTTTTGTGCGCATATCAAAACAGTTAGTCAGCAAATGTAGCACGAGCAAATAACTACCGAAAATCGTCGTTAAATGGCGAAAAATCGCGCTTGCACCTCGAACAGCTGTGCGATTTTATTAACTTGTCGATTTATACAATAGTTGATTTCATTGAATTTTGTATTTTATTTTGCATTTTTACATATATTTTTGGACCACTGAAAAATTCGCATATTTTTTCAAACACCTGAAAATGCATTTTGGCACCAAAAAACGGGAAATAAAATTTTTTAAAAATATTTCAATATAATATAAAATTTAATGTTAACACCAGCGTTGTTATTTCAATGTGCAAAAATATGACGAATTCGTGGAAGGTGAAAATAAACGCAAAATCAAAAATATATGATAATAAAATCAACTATAAATACCGTAGTCTTAAGCAAAAAAAAAAATAAAAAAATAAATAAAATAAAAAATCACCCAGTGGCATTCAAACTATGCTTGTAATATATTAATTATGAAATACTCATTTATCCAATATTATTATAGCCTTGTAAATATGTATATATTACGATTAAAATTACAGATTTAAAATTTCGTTAATACTGGAAAGTAGATACATATGTAGTATGTATGTTATGCTAAGAATTTAAGGTTAGGAATGTTTAAAAACAAACAACATTTTTGGACAAGCTGAAAAAGGACACATATACGAGTATATGATATACTGACAAAAAAATTTCCACTGGTAAGCATTTTTAACCATCATAATACAAGTATTTGCGTACTAAATTAACTTTTTTTTGAGAAGAGAGAACTTGTCAAAGTGGGATTCTTTAAAAATTTCCAACTATAAGGGGCTTATATCTAATATATCTTCTTGATGGACGTACACACCGCTTAAGTGGTTATAGTTGAGTTTACAACAGCACGCCAGTCTTTCCTTCTCCACCAGGTCTTTCCAACGGCGGGGAGAAGGTCTTCTTCATATCTGCTTGCTCTAGGCGAATACTCTCAGAGCTGGAGTGTTTTCATCCATTCGGACGATATGTCCAAGCCAGCGTAGTCACTATCTCTTAATTCGATGAACCTCGTACAGCTCAACGTTCCATCGAATGTGGTATTCGGGTTTGCCAAATCAGAAAGGACGATAAATTTTTCCGCAGAATAGAGAAAAAGGTGGCGATAAGCCTTTAAGGCTGGACATTTTCAAATATAAATTATTAATATTGCGAACTAATAAAGAGAGAATGGGAGAAATGGTTGGATCGTTCACTAAGTCATCTCCTTTGATGATAAATTTGAACACATCACCTGTGTATTGTCATCCTTTCTTGAAGCGCTTTGTTACTTACTAGCGACGAAAAGCGGGCTATTAACAAGAATGTAAAGAGCAAGTTGTCATGATCTTAAAATGATGAATCACAAGCTGTCCAGGTGCCACTGACAATTACTTGTTCCGGTCTCTACAAAATTTTTTAAATTTTTTTGCTAGGAGAACCTTTACCTCAAATCAGGATCTTGCCCGAAGGATATTGAATCAAAATGGTTAATACGTATATAATTTCTAAAAATTTTTTACACAAATAAAAATCATTTAAATTGCACTTTAAAAAACGAAATTACTTAGTGAACGACCCAACACATCTCAAGTCACAAATTTTAAAATTTTGAATTTTTTTTTTTTTATCGGATAATAAAAAAATAAAACCGTTTGACGGAGTACGTTGCCGTTGCTCTTCTTTGAGAGAGTTTATCAGTGGTGTGCAAGAACCTACAAATTTTTCGGATTAAAAAGCGAAAAAATAATCGTTTCTTTGACGCCGTCTAATATGTGACCTGGTCTACGAAAAGTAAGCTAACGTGCGAAAACTGGTTTTCTGGGAAACAGCTGTTAAAAATCTCATCTTCCATCCCAATCAACTAAAAAGTGAAAATTGATTTTTTGCATTTTTTGACACCTAAGCCCCCTTTCCGTAGACCAATTCACATATATTTTTAAATGGTGTTAAAGAACCTACTTTTCAGAATATAAATATAAATGTTTCGTATGCAAATTTATTTCTGAAAAACTATTAATTCGGGTAGAATCTATCAAATTCGGAGTCAGTAATTTTAATTTATGGAAAGTGAACAAAATATCTACCAATCTCTCTCTTTCCCTCTCCCTCGGTCGCTGTATCTCTACGTTAGTCTCCCTGTCTCTCTATATCTCTTTGAATCTTTAAATTGCTTCGAGCAGCAATGTCCATAGTCTAACCTTTATTCAATTGTCTGAATTAAGCAATGTAATGTTAAAAGATTGTGAACAACAACATATCCATTACGACATCATCGATCAATACCAACCTACACTTTTTTGTAGTACTTGGAAATTACTAATAACTATCATGAACTGGCAAAGATTGTGACATAAAACACATAATTTAGGACGACTTCCCAATCGCTTGAAAATAATATGCTTGTATGTAATAACTATAGAATTATATATGTACATTAGGGTGATTCAAAAAATAATAAATTTTTTCCTTTTGTACTCTGAAAAATAAGTTCCTAGACACCTCTCAGAAAGTCTCTCCAAAAACCTATGAGTTTCATCATATATAATGATTTTTTTGATTGAGTTATAAAATTCATAAGAAATAAAAAATTTTCCCAAAAATAGTCAAACTTCAAGCATTAATATCTTTTAAGCTGTTGGGTTTACGAAAAAATCGTACCGACCTGTTTTGTAGAGCATTCAATTTCCTACAAAATCTAAGCAATAAGATATTTTTTTAAAGTAGTTGGAGGCGAGATATAAATTTTTCTATATGATAATAAGAAAAAATAGAAAATTGTAAGTAGGAGGATCTTCCCGTTACAGTTAAGAACTCATTCTTCGAAAGGTTTCCTTAGAGGTGACTAGGAACCCCTTTTCAGAGTACCAAACGAAAAAAAATAATAATAATAATTTTTTTTTTGGAATCACCCTAATGTACATATATAATATTAAATAGATATACATATATTATTATAAATAATAAATATATATATAATACTAAAAAACTTTGTGCTGTAAATTCAATAATTAAAATAAAAGTTTATGTAAAAAATAACAATATCCTTAGAAAAATATATAATCAAAAAGTTATCTCATAGTAAATGTATTGCCAAAAGGTATATTATTTACCGAACTACTATTTACTTGCTACGGCAACTCAATTACTTTTAAGCTAAATTTAGACATAATGTTATTAATTAATAGCAACTTAATATATAATATACATTTAATCGATATAAAAAGAAGAAGTTGTTAATCGTCAGTCAATTCAATCCAAATAAAAATTAAAAATATGATTAATCAAATTGAAGTGAGACAATTTTATTTACAAACAATTTGGCGTGATATTAAACTAATTTATTATTATTTAACCTTTTGTTATTTTTACTAAATTCATTTATAATGTTTTTTAGTTAATAAATAGTTACTCTTCTTTATTGACATTAATTGCTTAGTCTGCTCTTATTGGAAAATTTACATGTACATTTACAAATATATTTCATGTCTTTCAACACCTTCTATAAAAATATTTTTTTATACTTTTACTATTCTCTTTTTTATTTGTTTATACAGTATTTACACTTTTTTCTTTCTCTTTTCATTTCTTCATTCTTTTCAAAGCTGAAATTCTTTTAATAATATTTTACTAATCTATTAAACTATTTTTTTTTTACTCTACGAAATTGTTATTATTTTTTTTTTATTATGTTTTTATACGTACATATGTTCAATTATATTTT